TTACAAAAAACTTTAACCAACGCAGACGCCGACGCGGACGCTGACGCCGACGCCGACGCCGGGGCGACTACAATAGCTCTCATATTCTTCGAATAGTCGAGCTAAAAATGCAGGTCGTGGTACAGTGCATCAAATTTGAAATTATATCAATGGAATTTATGTAATCACTAATGTCTCTCATTAACCGATCTATACAATGTCATATCAAAATATTTACAAACAAGGGAGCTAGCACATGTTTAATGTTTATGGCTTAAATCAAATTATTTTAACTACAGCATTACAATAATGGCCCATTTTTAATATGAATGCCCCAATCCTTCAAATAGTTACCAAAAGTCTTCAATTAATGGAGCCAAATTCTCTAACTTCATGTACGATAGGCCCTGTCTAGGCACTTCAATAAATGGCCCAATCTACAAACTAAATGGCTACATTCTTCAATAAACAACCTATCTACAATAACTGGCTAAATTCTTCACATGTTGGCCCTATCTACAATATATGGCTAAATTTTTCACATGTAGGCCATAACTACATTAAATGGCTAAAATCTTCACATGTTGGCCCTATATACAATAAATGGCTAAATTCTTCACATGTTGTCCCTATATACAATAAATGGCTAAATTCTTCACATGTTGGCCCTATATACAATAAATGGCTAAATTCTTCACATGTTGTCCCTATCTACAATAAAAGGCTAAATTCTTCACATGTAGGCATATCTATTAGTATAATAAATGGCAAAATTCTTCACATGTCGGCCATATCTATAATAAATGGCAAACTTCTTCACATGTAGGCCCTATCTACAATAAATGGAAAATAATTCTTCACATGTAGGCCCTATCAACAATAAATGGCAATATTCTTCACTGAATTCTTCATTGATTGCCCAATTCTTCACCGAATTGCTAAATTCTTCACTGACTAGCCCAATCTACATTGAATGGTCAAATTTTTCACTGATTGGCCCTATCTTCAATGAATGGCTAAATTCTACAATTACATGTAAACGGTCAAATTCTTCAATGAATGTCCCATCTACATTTGTGCATTAATTATGTAGCACCACATAAATCTTCAAGACTACAGTTTACACAAAAAATAAGCTTTAAGTTCGAAGCCTGCTTCATAAACCAAATTAATTAATGACCCTATAAGTTTAAATAGTTAACCAGTGAAATCTGTGTAAGGAATTTGCCCTTGCCACTTAATTTGGAAAAAGTCCATTCATATGGATTTTAGAATCAAATTATTGAACTGACCAACAGCATTTAGGCAGTGACATACCACGTAACACGGATGTGGAGGCTAGACTGGACTTATATTAGTAGCAGAGAATGATCTCTTTTGGTTACAGGTTTTTTCCCCCCTCTTATTACTTTTAGCATGGGCACTTAACATGCCTAAGAATTCACCAAGAAAAAATCATTTATGTCTATGAAACAGTTTTCCCCTACGAGTTTTCTTTCCCTTTTCGCAAAAAATATTTTTCTCCAAATTGAAGAGAATGTCCCTTTGGCCTATCTACTTCAAATGAAACAAGAACGTGTTTGTTAAACACAAATGCCCCTGGCTCAGATTCTTGTCAGTAGCAATATTTCAAACAAGAGGGCCATGATGGCCCTGAGGTCGCTCACCTGTATATAGGCCCCCCACCCCACCCCACCCCTGGGCCAATTTTTACCCAAGGGCTTTTATTTGAACAGACTTGGTAGACACCCATAAGAAGATGTTTCATGCTAAACATCTAAGTTCTAGCTCATTGGGTTTTTTAAAAGAAGATTTTTAAAGTTTTTACTATACACATATAGTTAAAAACAATGACACCCCTGGGGCAGGGCCAGTTTTGACCCCCAGGCTTTTATTTGAACAAACTTTGTAGATATTTACTTAAAGATGTTTCATTCTTAATATCTAAACTCTAGCTATTTGGGTTTTTTTTCAAAGAAGATTTTTAAGTTTTTGCTATACACATATAAGGAAAATCAATGACCCCCCCCCCCCCCATGAAGAACATGTTTCATGCTAAATATCTTAGCTCTAGCTTATTGAGTTCTTTAAGAGAAGATTTTTTAAGTTTTTACTGTATGCATATAGGGAAAATCAATGACCCCCCCCCCCCCGGGCGGGGCCAATTTTGACCCCAGGGCTTTTATTTGAACAAACTTGGTAGACACTCATTAGAAGATGTTTCATGCTAAATATCTTAGCTCTAGCTCTTTGGGTTCTTTAAAAGAAGATTTTTTAAGTTTTTACTATATGCATAAAGGGAAAATCTATGACCCCCTAGGGCGGGGTCAATTTTGACCCCAGGGCTTTTATTTGAACAAACTTGGTAGACATTCACTAGAAGATGTTTCATGCCAAATATCTAAGCTCTAGCTCTTATGGTTCTTTAAAAGAAGATTTTTTAAGTTTTTACTATATGCATATAGGGAAAATCAATGACCCCCTGGGGCGGGGCCAATTTTGACCCCAGGGCTTTAATTTGAACAAACTTGGTAGACACTCACTAGAAGATGTTTCATGCTTAATATTTTAGCTCTAGCTCTTTGGGTTCTTTAAAAGAAGATTTTTTAAGTTTTTACTATATGCATATAGGGAAAATCAATGACCCCCTGGGGCGGGGCCAATTTTGACCCCAGGGCTTTAATTTGAACAAACTTGGTAGACACTCACTAGAAGATGTTTCATGCTTAATATCTAAGCTCTAGCTCTTACGGTTCTTTAAAAGAAGTTTTTTAAAGTTTTTACTATATGCATATAGGGAAAATCAATGACCCTCCGGGGCGGGGCCAATTTTACCCCCAGGGCTTTTATTTGAACAAACTTGGTAGACACTCACTAGAAGATGTTTCATGCCAAATATCTAAGCTCTAGCTCTTAGGGTTGTTTAAAAGAAGATATTTAAAGATTTTTCTTTCGGTTGCCATGGCAACCAGAGTTCTGCATGGAATTAAATTCTTTGAACAATTTTTAAAGGTGACCACCAAAGGAACATTCCTGTGAAGTTTGGATGAAATTGGCTAAGTGGTTTATGAGGAGATGTCATTTAAAGCAAAAGTTTACGGACGGATGACGGACGGACGGACACCGGACGAAAAGCGATTACAAAAGCTCACCCTGTCACTTTGTGACAGGTGAGCTAAAAATGCTTACCCATTCACTCAGTTAAGGACAGAAAAATTGCCAAAAAATTGTAAACACAAGTAATATAGCTTGACAAAGTCATAGCATTTTGTAATTGTGAAAAATATAAGTTGCCAAGTCATTGCTCTGACTTGTGAAGATGAAAAATATTCAACTTCATGCAAGTTATCTTCCTACCAAATATGAAATACATCTGTCATTAAATAAAGGCTGTATGGGCAAAAGTGTAAAAATCTATTTTTAGCACTGGTGACCTTAACCAAACTGACCCCTAACTCTATCCAAAAGAAGAATACCATGTAAGTTATCTTCCTACCAAATATGAAATACATCTGTCAATAAATAAAGGCTGTATGGGCAAAAGTGTAAAAATCTATTTTTAGCACTGGTGACCTTGACCCAACTGACCCCTTACTCCATCCAAAGGAAGAATACCATGCAAGTTATCTTCCTACCAAATATGAAATACATCTGTCAATAAATAAAAGCTGTATGGGCAAAAGTGTAAAAATCTATTTTTAGCACAAGTGACCTTGACCCACTGATCCCTACCCCAATCAAAATGATGACCATGCAAGTTATCTTCCTACCAAATATAAAATATATTTGTCACTTAATAAAGGCTGTATGAGCAAATGTGTAAAAATCTATTTTTAGAACTGGTGACCTTGACCCAACTGACCACTAACTCCATCAAAGTTTATGTTTCTATCAATTATAAATAACATCTGTCTATAGAATAAGGTCAATACACCTGTAAAAATGTAAAAATCAATTTTAACATTGGTGACCTTGACATTGGTAACATTGACCTTGACCCAAATGACCCCTTACTACACCCAAAGAAGGAGGACTTCCCATGTTTGTATTAAACTAAAACATCAACTAAAATATAAAGGCTGTATGAGCAAAAATGTTTATATTTATTTTTTAATCCAGTGACCTTGACCCTAGAGACCGCTTACTCCACAAAAAATTAGAGGACCATCAAAGATATCCACCTACTAAATATGAAAGATATCATTAAAGAAATTAAGCAATTAGGAGAAATTTAAGATAAATCCAACTTGCCGAAATAGGTTAACCAGACAAGGCCCTATTTTCAAAGTGAAAAAAGGGAAATAACTGGGAAATATGGATGACACAGTTATATAACTTGGCAATATCATGTACTTTGTATTGATAAGTAAGTGTGGAAATTATAAAGCCATTAGTATAGATAGAACTTAAGATATTTCCAACTTGCCGTTTTAGGTTAACCATTATTCATTTTCTAAGTGCTGAAAAGGGCAATAACTTGGTAAATATGAAAGCCAGAGTTATGTAACTTGCCCAGATCATGTACTTTGTATTGATTAGTAAGTGTGTAAACTTAGAAGCCATTGGTACAGGTAGAACTTAAGAAAAATCCAACTTGCCGTTCTAGGTTAACCTCGTACGGACAGACGGACGGACAGACGGTTCATTCACTATATGCCCGGGGGCATGAAAAAGTCTCAAACCATTCCAGCTGATTAAAAGGTTAAAGGTTTATCTAGCTACATCACCAATATAAAACTTGGACAGTGTGTGAGGCTATCTTGTGTTTAGGTCTTGTTGGTTGATCAATTTTTGAATTAGTATTTTATATTCTTACCCTTTAAATAACAATGGATTGTTCCAAATTCAAACCAATTTATGGCCATTAATTAGGATGAGTTTAAGAATAAAATTCAAGTTTTACAGGGTATTTAAAGAGTTTTTTCTGCTACACTCTCATTATAATAACTGTTTCTTTATGTACTGAACAAATTTCTACATTAACCGCATGAACTTTCTAAAATAATAACATACCTGTTATCTCTGGTGTGAAAATATCGTTGTTTAACATAGTATCCTGTAACAAGAATAAAATACATATTAATTCTAAAATATAGTTAAAAAGATCAACAAGGAAAGGTGGCTTTCAATGAAGTTGCAACCCCCACACAACCCAGCAACAAGGACCAGCAGCCAGGAGCCCAGGAGGACCTCAAACCAAAACAGGACAGGACACAAGGCAGAGCATGGACAGGATAATCACCAAATAATACATGAAAAGAAATTATAGTAACCAACAAGAAAACCAAACACAATTGATTAATGAATAGGCCCACAAAGTAAAAGAGCACAGTGGAAGGGGACAAATGAGCCGTGTCACGACAAAACCAACATAATGGGTTTGCGACCAGCATGGATCCAGACCAGCCTGCGCATCCGCGCAGTCTGATCAGGATCCATGCTGTTCGCTATCAGTTTCTCTACTTGTTATAGGGTTTGTAAGCGAACAGCATGGATCATGATCAGACTGCGCGGATGCGCAGGCTGGTCTGGATCCATGCTGGTCGCAAACCCATTATGTTGGTTTTGTCGTGACGCGGCTCAAATATACAATACAACCTCTGTAGAGAACTAACACGGCTTTTGGGAGACACATTTCGGTTGTTGCTTGGAGGTGTTGATCAATAAAATTGAAAAATAGTATAATTTAGTGTGCATGTATGATCGTTTTGACAGAATTGTCAATGAATTCAAAAAACATTAGAAACATCAAAGAATAATTCTTTATTTAATAAGGTGCTTGTCATGGATCAGTAATTTTCCATCAATATAATTATTATGACATATTATTTAAACTCAAACTTTTTTCCATGTTATTAAGCTACAACAGCATTTAGCAATTGAACCGAAAACTACGTATTTTCACAAATAATGGCAAAATGACACTAATTTTTTTAAATTCGAAAAGGTCCCTGGCCCAATAGTTTTGGATATTGACCAAATAATTTTCTATGTTCACAAAGGGCCATATTTCATTCATGCCAAGACGTAATACAGGCCTGCATTGACAGTTACCACCAACTACATGTATTTCAAATGAATAAAATTATATACTCTCAGTAGTTCTGAAGATTGATGAAGCTTGCAAAACTTACATTCAGGAATTTTGTAAGTTCACAAGGGGCCATAATTCAGTCAAAATGGCCTTGGAAAGTGACCTCCCTTTATGATCTTAAGTGTGTGAAGTTACTAACATATATCTGCAGTGGTTGATGTAATATGATGTTGTACAAGTAGTTGCATGTAAAACTTTTACCAAAGTGTTAACTCAATGCAGACGCTATTATGCCCAGGCCAGGGCCCTGATAACCATGTACAGAATTGGGGCTGGGATACTCATATCGAGGAATTTAGTATCATTTTGACGAAAAAGGGGAATTTATCTGTGATACAAAAATACTTATAATGTTTACATATTTTTACATATCCATTACATTATTTCTTTTTGCAAAAAGTAAATTTCAATATAATATTGATAAGGGTTTTATGCAGGTAAAAAAAAAAATATATTGGAATTTTTTTATAGGGAAAAAATTGGGGAGGGAAAATGGTGTTGAATTCTGGCCCAAAAAAAGTGTAATGATTGTCCCTCTATTCTTCAAATAGTCGAGATAAAATCACTAAACTAGTAATTACTTTTGTAATAGTATCTTCTTACTTCTTTATTTCTCTACAAAAAGCACCATGACTTAATAATACATTGCTTCATACATATTAATAAAATAATATCTCATTTATCCACACTACTTACTTCTTCAGTGTCGTTTCTTTGGTTTACATTTGCTTGTTTAAACTTTGACACATCAAAACTTTGTGTCTCATTCTGGAATATAAAGTAAAACACAGCTTGCTATTCATTTTTATAAAATAATCTTAGGTAAAAAATTTGACAACGAATGAAATAACCATATGACTAGTGTATCAATATTATATATATTTTTATAATTTATAGATAATTTATCATGATGATATCAACCATGGCAGACTTTACGGTTAGTAATGATTTCAACTCTAAAACTGCTTGGACTCAAAAATAATGAATAATGGAGAGTTAACCATCCTGGTGCACTGCAATCCTCCTATGAATAAGATCTACCGACCTATGAAATTTCAATTTGATATCTCTATTACTCTTTGAGACATTTTTAGCTCCAGATAAAAATCAAGCATGAAATTGAAAGGAAAATGGCAATAACAAAAATGCAAATGTAATATGAAAGGAAGAATTATCAATTCTTGCTCAATGCATCCCAACCAAAAACTTATATAAAGTATCAAGTTGGTGTCTAATCTGCGTAAAAATGTGTAACAGCGAAATGACTGATAGAGATTATTACAAGGGTACCGCTATAACAATATTCCCCATTGCCTCCTCCAGCATGGATAATTAATTCACTACTAAACTGTTATCTTTCCACCATTCCCCCCCACCCCCATCCCCATCCACAGGGCAGTGCTGTGACATTGAACAATATTTTAACCTTTTATGTGTCACTGGTCATACTGCTGGGAATAAGCCTCACTTATGTGATGATAATGCCTAACTCTTTGTTTCTGTAGCATGTAGTAAGGGTTTTATCATCAGAATATATTTTCAAGACTACTCCTTGAAAAGCTGAGTTTAAGAATACAAAGTCAAAGTCATTGCAATTCTCCGCAGGGTTGGGCAGCCAAGTTTCAATTGACTAGCTCATGTCTACTCTGGAATTGAGAATACTTTGGAGTTTCCCCAACAAATCCATGGGTACCAACAAACTTTTACAGTTTCTGCTTTGAAAAATAAGAAGGCTGATTTATCTATTGTAATCGATGATGCACCGTGAAGTTATTACAGTAGTTTGATTGTACCGGGGGTTAGCTTAGAAAAACCCACATTGCCAAGTTCTGGATAACAACTATTGCTGCTGAGCCTTATTTGGTTCCCTAGCTTAGGGTTTCCATATCTTTCTACTTCAATATTACTGACATCCTCAATTATTAGAAAGAACTTTAACTGTTTATAGATATAACCTGCTTGTTATGTATATAAATCAATCAATTATTCACTTAATAAGTAAAGCTTGTCCGAGATTAAAGCATGTTCTTTTTCACACCTCATTACTTAATTGGATAGAATATTGAACAACTTTCAAATAACCTAATCATATTATGACGAAAAATCAATGTATATATCCCAACGGTATTTCAAAATGATATTTTCAAAAGATCTCCTTTCTATTAAACAACAATTGATTAATATAATTATTCTCTTTGAGTCGTTTGATTTTGTTGCTCTTTGTATGATGCTTATTAATTAAGTTTTCTCACATAAAAAAAGTCTGTAATTAGATTCTCTTTTTTTGTAATACAAAATTTAATATACTCAGTGAAAAGTACAGGCAAACTTTAATTTAAAATATCATCAGTTTAAAGTGAATTGGTCTATAATTGAAGGTCTGTATTATCATAGATAATTATGATGATAGAATTAAGTATCATAAATGACAAGAAACTCATAATGAAGGAATTATATGAGCCGCACCATGACAAAACCAACATAATGGGTTTCAACATTATGAATAACAGAAAAGTTCAAATTTACAAAACTTAAATAAAAAGTGTAAAGATATGCAAATTTTCATCTACTGATTTTTTTCTGTGAACATTATTAGAATACTTCAATAAATAGCTAAAAGAGCTACAATACTATATAACAATGGAATGATAGCACATTTCTGAAAAACAGCTTTTTAAATCAGTATAGAAAAGTATAATAACTGATGCCATTAAAGGTACCATACTGTTTCCATTTAATGCCCCTGGGGACAAGGAGGACACTAATTAGAACTATTAAAATGTTTATTATGCCCCCGCCATGTAATAGCCGGGGCATATAGTGTTACCCTGTTCCGTCCTTCCGTCATTCTGTCATTCCGTCATCATCAGTTTCCGTTCATTATCTTAGTAACGGTTGCACATATTCAACTCAAATTTGACATATGGATATGTCATGAGAAAATACAGGTCAAGTTCGAATTTGGTCATGGTTTAATGATTTTTGGCAGAGTTATGCCCCTTTTACTTTGAAAATAATATGAAATATTCAGTTTCCGTTCATTATCTCCCCAACGGTACAACACATTCAACTCAAATTTGACATATGGATATGTCATGAGAAAACACAGGTCAAGTTCGAATTTGGTCATGGTTCAATGATTTTTGGCAGAGTTATGCCCCTTTTACTTTGAAAATAATATGAAATTTTCAGTTTCTGTTTATTATCTCCCCAACAGTACAACACATTCAACTCAAATTTGACATATGGATATGTCATGCAAAAATACAGGCCAAGTTGGAATTTGGTCATGGTTCAATGATATTTGGCAGAGTAATGCCCTTTTCACTTTGAAAATAATATGAAATTTACAGTTTCTGTTCATTATCTACCCAACAGTGTTACATATTCAACTCAAATTTGACATATGGGTATGTCAAAGGAATGGGCAGGTCAAGTTGGAATTTGGTCATGGTTCGATGATTTTTTGGCAGAGTTATGTCCCTTTCACTTTGAAAATAATATAGATACATCTTAGGAATAAGCAGTTTAAGTTTGAATTTGGTCGTGGTTCAATGATTTTGGACAAACTTATCTTTCTTGAATATTGGAAAAATTTTGAACTTTCAGTTTCAGCACTCATACTTTTATGGAAATGTATGTAGCCATTATTTTGGCTACAAATATGAAATATGCTATTTTCAAAAGGTTAAGACTGAATAATTTCAGTGTCTTGAACATTGTATGAAAATGGTTTGTGTTAACATTGAAAAGTTTTAAGGGCTTTGAACTTAAAATGAAAACAATAATTTGTGCAAACAAAATTTGGAACTAAATATTATAACATCTGAAATTTTGGCTGCATGCGGGGGCATCCGTGGCATGATGACACATTTCTAGTTATGTAAAAGATAGAATTAAATTGTAAAAATTATCTTTCATTATTATGATCTAATATATAATACAGGATTTCTTAAATCAATTTAATTTATTTTACATTACTGAAGTGTCATTAATTGTTATTTTTCAAATAAAAATATTTTGATCTTTCATATTGGGTAATAAATATTATATATTAAGGCTGAATGTTTTCTTCCACAAAATGTGGTGGGAGTGGGGCTACTTAGAGGGAGGGGGTGTTAAATGGAAACAATATGGACTGTTACATGTACATGCATGTCATGCAAAACAACAAATGTAACACAAATAAAATTATGATGAAATATCTATGTCTACCAAAACAACACTAATCTATAAACTGTAACCCTGCTGGAACCAATTATGATTAGCCTTTATTCAAAGGTTATTGCCACTAGTTAGACCAGCCTGCACATCCTAAAAAATTGATAATCAACTGTTCCAAAATTGGAAGCTGGACATGTATCATTTAAGAAATTTTGCAGGTTTATTCAAAATATTCTGAACAAATGCTGGGGCTGTGTGGTCTCTCTCAAGCCCTAATCAATAACCTGCTGAAGATGCAAGTGAACTAATCTTTGCCACCAGTATAAAACCAGGCCTGAGTTGGTGCAGTCAGGCCCGGTTTTTATACTGCAGGTACATATAACTTACTTATTATTTGTATTTTGGTACTGAAATCCCAGACTTTTCAAAAAGTCTGTTCCAAATTCAAAGCTAAATAAATCCATTAATATTCAGCATGTTATACAAGGTGTTAAGTACAGGTCACTCACACATGAAAATCTTGAATTATAACACATATATATAAAAGAAAACACATTCAGTTGGGATTGATTGACAATTTTGACACTCTATATTGGGATAAAGGGTGGGTATAATGTGCAGAAAAAGAGCACACAAAACTAAAATGCCAATTTTTCTTAAGCTAAAACTTATGGCTTACAATGTGGTGAGAAAATTAATATAAAAAAGTTGATTTATTAGGCATTAAGGGAGCTCTACAAAGGCTATGTTAATATCTTACCTTGTTCAAATCTAAAAGCTGGAAGCATGAAAGAAAGGTAAATGTTAAAACTACTAAAATGAGTTACATGAATTATGATACAGATGCATAAATATATTTTAGAATAATATAATTTTGACAAAGCAAATTGACAGTAAAAAGCATGCATTTAAGGATTTAAAAGGTTTAAAAAGCATCTACAGGCTTTGATAAGTGTAAAATAAAATTTTGTTTAAATTTTGACTTTTATTAAATATATAAAAATGTTTCTAGCACAGTCAAATTATTTCCAAAAAAAAGATTTATCAGTGCTAAATTAAAGTGATTTCTCAGTGCTAATTAAAGTACTGTAAAAACTGTAAAATTTTTATTCACTGTTCCAAAACTTATATAATATATTGTATTCAATATACACTTTCAATCCAATAAAAAAATTAAAATTATTTAGATTGATCAGGGTTGGTTAAATTCTTGCTTCAAACCATTGATATTTTCCAGATAAATTTATAATAACTATAGACATAAATTGATCATATTAACGATGTATATCACAGTTCTAATCCATTTATCTTCAGGAATTTATTTACTCAGATGTCAATAAAAGTAGCTCTAAAGATAAAGCTATGCAAGGACTACGCATACTATACATGCAGTTTTCAATATTTAAAATTTAAATATGAAGCTAATTTACTAAGATTTTTAAAAGTGGCTGTATTTAACTTTTAGACTAGTTGGTGAACCATTGTGCACTACAATAGCCATCAAAATCAAAGATGTATCCCTACCTCATCCACTTCCCATTCATCTGGATTTTCTATAAATAGTTTTCTGCCGCAGAATTCCCTGCGGCTGATTCCTGGTACTGCTCCCTTTGCAGTCCTTTGAGCATAGGTTTCTGGATAACTTGCATCATTGTCCCTGGTTTTTCTCTCAAATTCTGTTCTCGAAGCTGACTGTTATATTCGTTTCTTGTCGCTTCTAAGACTGCATTGATATCACCAGCTTCTGATTCTGAATCACTTTCAAAGTTTCCCAAAGTCTTTGAAGTTTCGTTGTTTTTGACTTTACCATTTTTCTTTTCATTAGAGTTCTTATTTGTTGTCACAGAAGCTGTTTGGAACTTATTATTATCAGTTCTCGTGTTATTTGTGATCTTTTCATTTCCACCAAGTCCTGACTTCTCACTTTTTTCAATTTTAAGTTGCCTTGATGACTTGGAAACATTATCAGATCTGGCTGGTGGAGTTTTTTCTTGAGTTTTTGGTTTGCTTGAACCCGATCCCATATTCCGCTATATAAACTGCACTGTTTCCTTCATTTGAACAATATTTAAACTCTGTGTACACTAATATTTACAAATATCGCATGTTTGAAAATCAAAATTCACATGTTTACCTGGTCGTCAATCAGGGTCGGACTTGATTGGGCAACTCTTTTTACTCTTTCTACGACTTTTACTCCAAATCTTAATCAAGTGATGTAGAGCAGTCACTCGGAGTATACTCCAAACTCTCCACCGTATGGGCAGGGAACTTTGGAGTGTGACGTCACAAACCAACATGGCGGAAAGACGAACCATGTTTCAATGTGAAGACTGTAACATGTTTTTTCTGTCTATGGAGGTCTTTTGCAACCATCCATGTGTAGCTTCAGGGTATATAATTTTATTCCTTAATTACCAAAATAAATTTAGAAGGTATTAATATATATTTTATTCTGATTATATTTCTTCCCAGCTTAATCCTATTGTTCACAAAATAATTGTCCGTTCGGTTATTTGCGTGTCATTTTTTCCGTTTTGTGACAGGTTTTTTCTTCTTGGCCTTTTTCTTTTTTTTTCTTACGTATCTAAGTAATGTGATAAGTTATCCGTTAATTTTTTTTTTGTGTTTGGAAATTTTTGCCCTATATTTATATTATTATCTCTTGTGTTGTTTTTTATCTATTTCCTGGTCGTCAAGTAATTTACCTTATTTACTTCTCTATATTTATTTTTAGATCTATTTATGGTTTATTTTACTGTTTTATTATTTTCATATAATGCTTAGTTATAAAAATTTAAGTTTAACCATTTTCAAACATAATATACTTTTTAGCCATTTTGGTTTCATTAATATCAATATCGATATAATGCGTTTATCTCTCTTTTTTTTTTTGTTAAACGTTGTCATTTGTTAATTTTAACTTCCTGTTTATATTTTTTTTATTTTTTTGCTTTGTCTCTTTTTTATTTTTTAGTTTGTATTTTTTAATATTTCAGCGATCTTGGTATTTAATATAATTTCATTATATTTCTTAGTATTTTTTTTTTATTTTTGAGTTTTATATATTTTTATAATTATCCTAGAGTTTATTTTTTTTTTATTTTCTTTAAAGTGATTTCTATATGTCTTTTTTATTATATTTTCTTCTACTTATCTAGTAATAAATTGGCAATCTCAATTCTTTGATATTGTAAGGCCTTTTTTGATTGTGTATTTTCTCTTTAACGAAGTCTGTTCTTGACTTGTATTTAGTAATGGTACGACAACTTATTATAAATATTTTTGTCTACTAGACAAAGGTTCCTCCCAGTAAGCTTTCCGAAACTAAGTATAGGCTCCAGCTCTTTCCATTTATCATTGTTATGAAAATCTTTAGTTATTTATTAATTTGTGTGATTTCTATGTGACATTTTTATTTTTTTGCTTTTTTTTCTATCATCAATTTGTTATAGCTTGGTGAATTCTTTTTCGCAAATAGAACAGAGGATACGCATAAATTTAGTATAGATCTGATTATTAAGTTAACGCATAGAGGAATTGATGGAATTGAAATTTTTGTTATAATATGGAGCTTCAGGGCATCTCGAACTTTATCTTTGCTATATTTTGCTTGTATTTGATTCAAAGATATATGTTACAGGATCCGTTTGAATCATCGTCGTGTACTGTTTTTGATCAGAAGTTTAATGGAAGTGCAGTTTGTATAAGTATAATTGCATCAGTGTTTCTTAAAGATTGCATTCATTAAAATTCATTCATTTTACTGATTCATGCAGTGTCATTTCAAGGATGAAAACTCCTAATACTGTTTACAGTTGACAATAGATATGTTAAAGATATTATAAATATCGTTTCATGGCTAATGCGTTATATTATTCTCTTCATATTATGTATTTAATAGTTTTTGGATCTCAAATGTTTTCAATTTTTAGGGTTTCATACCGAACATTAGAATCCAGTAATTGTAATTGAGTAAGTGTTAACTAGCTACTTTCATTTATGTCACACGTTCAGATGTAAGTATCGGTGATTTTGATTGGACTGATTTGGCAAGGTTTGCTGTTGACATAGCAGCATGATTATTTTGTTTATATTAGTATATAGTACTTATGTTATCATGGTATTGCATTGATGATAAATAGGTATTCTAGTCTCCAATAATTAAGGAAAATCATCAATATTTCATGTTACTGTATATTTTAATTTTTTTCATTTAATTTCTGTGCTTAAGTGAAGCATGAATAATGATGGCGTTGTACAGAATGAGAAGGAAAGATAAAGGAGATTAGAAGACATGAATGAAAAAATGAATAATGTTTCAGAGAGCTGATTCATGTCCTAAAAAAAATATTATAAAGATTTATGCAGTCTGTATACTCCTCACTAATATAGCCCATTAATCAAAAAGTTCATGAACATTTTTATTTCAAGCTATCGTTATAGCACACTTTCTTTATCATTTATTTGTATATCAGTATATTTGGATATATATTTCATTTTACTTTTTAATTCATTTGTCTGTGTTCCAGTTGTGGTAACATTTTGAGCCAGTGAATTTTTTATTTGATCTAACAGAAGCAAATTCCCCATATTTTCTATTTATAGTAATATTTTTATATAAACTATGTCTTTTAAAAATTCTAGTTATAGAAGATTATGCTATTATATTATCGCATAGGATCGTTCTAGTTCATATCGACGATGTGTTGTGCTGAGATTGGTGGTTCACAATGATATGTGTGTATTAATCATGTCTGTGAGGATTGTTGATATATCTGTCCATATCGTAGTGATGAAGATAATCAAAATCCTGTGATTCATATCGTTCTAACAAGTTCATAAGTCTGGATATACTCATATCTAATTCTAGAGTATCTTCAAGTAATGAAATTTTGTTCATAATTTGTTCTTTTTGTGTCCGGTGTTAGCATATTAGTTCTTATATGTCTTTTTTTATATTGCATTTTATTCCTTCATGTTTTTATTCAAATTTTGTTAGTTGCATTTATGTTGCTAAAATAGTACAAGTTAACACCATATGTTAATTCACTTTAGCTGAAGTTGTGTCTCTGCCAGTTAAACCATTTCTCTGTTTCAAATGTCTGAAAGTCTTATTACTTATTTAGATATAGAAAAATTGGTATGATGTTGGAGCATTTTAGCGTCGCCTTTAGCAAATTAATATGACTGTAGCTAAGTTAGCTTTCTCGACCAGTTTCATACCATTTTCTTTCAAAAAATCGTGTTCATTTTTGTTTTAGCATCACTTTGTCGCGCAAGTTGACTAAGGTGACTTTTGTGATCGCCCTGATGTCCGTCGACCATTTCCGTCAACAATTTCAAACATATAACTTCTGTCCGTCCTGAAACACCCACTGGCCGAAAGTTAATGAGAACTTGTCAGGTATGAATGTTCATTGCATGAAATGAGCAGAGAAGGGTCATTACTTGCAGAGCTTCTGGCTCGCTTCATGTGCAAAACCAAAAGAAAAATTTTTTGAAATAATCCTTTTGTCAAAAAACCAACAAGGGCTAGACTGCAATGAATTTTGGTTTATTTACAGCATCATCTTATAGTGGTCCTCTGGTAAAAATTAATACCAATTATGCTAGGGGTGTCAAAAAAATGACCACACCAACCAGGGGTCAAGTTGTTGTTTTTCTTAAATGTAATATTGTCAAAAACATCTAAAATAAACATTCTTGATTCAATCAATTCTTTCTGAAATTTGTCAGAAATGTTTATTTTGATGAAATCTTGTTTGGGGTTGTATATGGGTTATCTTTGGTCCAGTATGAACAGGTGAGTGGATTAGCTTGGAGCCATCATGGTCCCTGCTTACATTGCAGCAGAAGTGATGTTCTGAGTATTGTGTAACTTCAGTTTCATTTTCTGTGATTTCTTATCGTTAACAATGGTAGATAAATAGCAAGAGAATAACAGAGCACAGATACCGATACCATATCAAACATAGAATTTTGTTTTATGTTAACATAGTTTTTGCCCCTATTGTGGTTCAGCTTTCTTTTTTGTTGCATAAATATGCATTTGCTGCACCTTGTTTATTAAACTTGTTGTTTAACAAGACAATTTTTTCAACTCTCTGCAAGTAGCAGTTGGATTTAATGTTATATTCTTTTTGCAAGAAAACATAAGTTGAGCCATATCAGTAGGCAAAAGACCAACATAATGAGTAATACATAATATGGAATCTAGGCCCATACCCGTGCATCTGCGCAATGTCCGCAAAGTCTTGATCAAAGACCCCATAATACTGCTTTGCCTTCTTTAAGCATCGTGCAATACTCAACTGGATATATACTTGTCCACACATACGCCATGTTAATGTTGGTGGTTTTTTTTGCATGACATGTCTTCATTACTAGTCATTAGTTTAAAATTTCTTCGGATGCTGTTGTAATGAATATTGGTTGCTTTGAGAATAGACATTGGAAATACTTTCTGCTTAATCAACTTAAGTTTGAGAATTATTGCTAGTCAAACTTTACTAACAGAAACAGCTCAGCACATAAAAGAAGCCAATTTAGATTTATTATTGGCATAATATTGGCTTGTGAAGACCAAAGGGCATAATCTTTAAAAGTGCAGTCCCTGGCATACTCCTGTGTAAAGTTTCTTTAAATTTTTTCAAGAGTGGCGTTGTTTGATAGTGATTTGTAGAGTTATTACGATTAAACAAATGTTATTGTTTGTAGCAAGCTTATAGAATATATAGATGTACAAGTCAGAATTATTCATGTTGTTTGTCATTTATCTAGGATTTACCTAGGCTACATAAGTTATGGATTATTGAATCCTAAAGTTACATTTAGGTATCATTGTGATTAACATATTAACTTTTTGTGATAACAATACTTGCAAGCCTATTGATTTAAAAAGTTGCAGCTATGAACCTTGACAGGATATAAGGGTCCTACAAAGGTACTGAATTTAGATTTAGCACTCATTTCTTTTATCCCCTAATTTAGCTCAGTCTGCTCAAATCACCTTTTATGTCCACAACAGAAACTTCTACATTGGCTCATTGTCCCCAGATTAATGATCTGTGTGATTCTAATGAGCTGTGGCCGTGCTGATCCTGTTTGAATCTAGGTTTCATGAGTTTTAGAGAGCAAATAACTTATTGGATGAGGTTCGAGTTTAGGGGGCCAGACCAGCTATAGATCAATAGTGTTTTCGATGAGTTATGGACCTTTTGATTTGGCAATAAGTGTGTCTTAAAATGTTAATATATATCCAAAAAGACCAACGACAAGTAAGATAACGAGCATGTAAAGCTATAGCCTAAGTGGAATACTCTCGCCTAAGCTTTATTTAAATTGTAAACCATGGATGCTTGATCCTCCTAGTGACCGCATATAAAGACAATTTCCATGTTATATTATAACATCAATTTTATTTTCATAAAAGTCCAGTTTTTTTAATAGTGTAGCTTACAGTACATTTAGGTAGCACAAATAGCTTGATGATTTGCAGTATAACAAAAAGTGACATGGATTGGGTACATTTTTCAGCAAACCGAATCAGCTATCTTATTGCCCCTCAAGGGAGATTGCTGACTAATACGATCGTTCGCTTAAGAATGCCCGGCAGCATATCATTGTCCTAGAGAACACATACGTGTCTGTTTTGCGATTCTTGTCCTTCTGATTATCATTAAAATAATCGTTCTAGTTCATCGCTTGAAGTAATACAATATATGATGCCAATATGCAGCCTGAAATGCATACTTTCTCACAGCTGCTTGAAACAGTGAGCACATCAATGTTCTGCAGACGTTCGAAAACGTCCTTCTTTAAAAGACCAAAAAAGATCTTTCAATAACTTGGCGTGTTGAAGGAAAGACAGTAATTATAATGTGTTTTGTCGGTCTGGATCAGAGTCCTATTTCTCGAAATGGGGTCATCAACCATTCCTTCAATGGAAACCCACCGTCTCCTATTAAGTGTCCACCCTGACATAAATGCTGTGCATTCTGAAACAAGTCTGTGTTCTTTAACACCCTAGAGTCATGGCAACTCCCAGGCCATCCAGCAAAACAATGTGTAAACCTCATATCCTCTCTACATACACACTGGAGAACGATTGAATGGTAGCCTTTACGGTTAACGTAGGTTTGTGGATGCTCCTTAGGAGGTCTAATTTGTATATGGGTACTGTCTAAAGCTCCAATTACAAGTGGAAACTCCTTTTTCTCTCTGAATGCATTCATGACAGTTTGTTGATCTTGTCCATCTGGCCATTTTATATATTTAGACTTGAAATGTCTTAACAACATTTTACAAATCCTTCGACGAATGCGTAACACTGAGAACTCGGTCACATTAAATCGATCTCCGATTCTACATAGAGGCTCAAGACTGCCGATATACCAAAGAAATATCATCAGCTGGTTTTGAAGAGGTATGGCAGGTCGTCCAGATGGACGGGCAGTTTGGTACCTTGGCAATACTGTTCCAAGTTGTTGACAAATCACTTCAAATGTATCTCTTGTCATTCTAAAGAAACGCCTAAAGTCGTCTAAAGTGTAACGAGGAACCACTTCTTCAACATAATTTTCAACTTTTGCTTTTTTGCGACGAACTCTGAAAGAAACAAATAAAATCATATACAGCATTTGTGAATCAATTAATCATAAGAAACAATATATTTTAAGTTAATGCACTTAGTATTTAATATTTATAGATCAGGCAGTCTCTTAAGTATTTTTAATGTCAATAAAATCAGTCATCAATATTTCTTTAAAGATAATTATGGTCCTCAAGATTAAAATTTTGCCTTTCCTTTTTTTTTCTTTTTTTCCTTTACTTTTATCACAGGGGTCGAATTGTCTAAGCTTATTGAGGGGTCGAATTGTCTAGGGATTGATTTGTCTAATGGTAGAATTGTACGACACTCGTCTAAAAAGACTTTATGAAATATCACGTAATATCACGTACATAGCCAGAGCAAGAAGAGGTTGAATTTCATCATCTTCGTCTGACGAACTGCTGCTAGTCTCATCAAACAATGCTAAAGTAGTAGCAACTACAATATTTCTAACAGAAGTAGCCATCTTTTTACTCTCAATTTATTTGATTCGTTCCTTTTACTCGGAGTACTCCGTAGTACTCTGGGTTCAACGGAGTTTTTCGAATCAAGTCCGCCCCAGTACACACTTTCAATTAGGAATGTCAAGATTATATTGGACGGATCTACTTTTGTTATGAGGGGATTCAGGATGATTTGATTCGTTTATTTAATTTTATAAACTATGTTCGAGCTATTTAAACATTAATAGTTACAGTACATGTTGTTCATTACAAAGCATAAACTAAACGAACTTGAAACTGGGTGTACTTTAACAAAACTGCAGGTAACGTCTAAATGTTCATGTTGACATCAAAATGAAATCGTCGAGCTAAATTAACCCAACGGCTTTACAGCATACAAAAGTTGTATACATATACATATAAAGTTGTCGATGTGCACAATTGTCATTCACATATTCGTTATTTATCATATGAATTATGAATTTTGATACAATTCTGTAACAACAGGTGCTGTTAGAATGTTTAAACATATACATCGTCAGTACTTTCGAGTGAAAAAAATATATACATAAAAAATATACTCAGTATATGTTGGTGTGCAGTCCTGATTCAAGAGTTTTCGAATTGGTCTGAGGGCTATATAGCACTTATACTTAATTTTCATTTGGGTATACGCCAGTTGTCACTACATTAGTATATAAATATATATCCCTAAATTGTCGTGACCAAAAGCACAATTAACCCTCTAATAATAGTTATTAATGATAATCCTTCTTACCAACCATTGTAAAATAAAAAACTTATATATAATATTCATGTCTACGGATTAAAAATTTCAAAATCAATGAACAATTTGTTTAAATTGTTTAAAAAGAAGACGGCCAATTCTGGTTTTGTTTTATGTTGGATAAGAAATTGGTCTGTTGAATTGTTATCTATTAAAAATACTAATAATTCAAATAATTTAAGAATGTCTTTTTCATGCAAATTCCAAACTAAAAGTTAATTTGAACCACCCAATTTCAAACATCTTTCATATAATTATCTAAAAATATCTGGAAAAGTGATCCCTTGAAAGCATTAATCAAAAACAGCAAAATTAAATGAAAATTGGAGACTCTGTTTGATTGAGCCTGTAAATGAGGGATAATGAAAAAGTACAACATCCCACACACGGTCCCCAGCACTGACTTGAGCGGTATTCAGTGTTCAACACTTAAAAGTGATTGACTCATTGATACCCAAGGACCAGAAAAAAAAAAAAAAACAACAATTAAGTATGGTGCAACATTTTTACGGCTGCCACACAGCACTTAAAAGTAAAACAAACCGTTACTGATTTGTAGGAAATTCTATGTGTTGTCTCTATGTTGGGATTTGTCTTTTAAACTTTTTCGTCTAAATACTTTGCACCTGTTATCTTACATTGTATTTTATACAGTGAATGGTCTCGAAATCAGGGGTCCCCTGTAACAGAAATGTCTTCTAGACATGTATACATTATCTGAATTATTATAAACATCCCTGCCTTAATAACATAAAGGGTTATTCCCCAACAATTATTTTCAGGAAATACTGTATATTTACGTGCTTCCGTGAGTTTTTTTTTTCATGTCAATTTTTATGATCACTTTAACTCTAACTAGCAAATTTACATTTTCATCCGGTCAGTATAAAGTCAACTGTACATATTTGATACAATATGAATAAGATTTTCTCAAAATTAACTTTCAAATTTTGTGAAAGGCCATTAATTTGGTACTTTACATCAGTGCAAGCTAAGAAATTTTGTGAAAGACATAAATATAAAGTAGTTTACATCAGGATCTTCTCTTTGAAAGGCCTTGTTTACATATATATTTACAAAATGCAATCTAACTGTTGTGTTCAAAGCATTATTAGCTGTTTATGTCTATTTGTATTAGTTTGTGAAGTGTACTTTTTGTTCCTTTAAATAATCTTTGCGCTACTTTCTATATTTCATAACGAGGCTGCAACACGTGCAATTTCTTTTCCGACATTTTTGTACGGCAAGGTAGGTGTACAGAAACGGTTAAAGTAAAATTATAGGGAGTCTGTGAAATGATTGTTAAAAACATATGAAGAAATATAACTTATGTTTCATTAGATACTTTACTTATCAAAAATTTGAGAACATATCAATTTAATCGCTAGCAGTCGTCATATCTCGCTTTTAGCACTTGTTTTCGCGACATGCCACTTGAAAATTTCAGGCCTGTTATATCGTCATTTGGTTTGCTTATTTGTTTCTGATTTCATTTGTAGTAATATAATGCTGAATAATAAGGAAGAAATGCCATTTTGCAAGAATTAATTAAGTTGATGTACAGTAGAAACCCATCATTGAATGAAGGAGACCACTTTAGTCCAATATATTAGGCTTTACAGGCTTGTTATAGTTTATGTCGGTCAAGCCTGACGTCTAATAGTTATTGCTCAAAAACGCATAGCGTCATAAAAAATTCAGAAAATGTCTATTGTCTTGCCTTTCAAGCTTTATTCAAAAGCTTATCTTCTTTTCTTTCAATTTCATGCTCAATAATACACAAAAACTCTCAAACAATGTACTTATCAATTTAAAATAAAATATAAACATCAATCTATTTTTGCGACGGACGCGCCCTCAGGCGCGTTCAGAGCTAAGTCATCTACACATGGGATTTCGTTGGCTACACTCGCGCAATGTGTCCTAAACCGATTAAGAGCCCAAGAAATAGTACATGAATTTGATCCTTCAAAACTCCCATACTTTGTCTGGATATCTTAATGTCTTCCATATTTAGCCTTTTCAATTTCAAATTTAGTTATCCAAGTTAAAATATGAACGTATATTATTGATAAAAACGTTGTAGTCCCGTAGTATTATTGCGCAATATGCAAATTACTGCTGAAACGATTTACCGCTGTCGAAAAAGTAGGACAGCAAATTATACTACAATAAAGGTGTAACCTCTGAGTTCCAAGACATTATTAGTAGGAAATAAATATTTCTACATCATACAAAACATTATTATTAACAAATCAAAAGTTTTTCGTGACTCTAGGATAACTCGCGCATTAATAAAAGAAGAACTATTTTCGTGACTCATACCGCGGGTTTAGCTGAACATTCAGCAGTTATTAATATATTAGATTCAGTACAATAGTTAGTATAAATATCTATTTTTGAAAATGCATGTAAGAAGTGAGTTTTCAACACTTTACCGCCATGTAGTCTTTCATGGTAAGGAAGTTATAATATCAGCTCTACTTCCGATTCTTGTGGTTTGTTTACATATTTTTCTAGGTCATGATATGAATTAACCTTCGCTATTCTAAAAATAGATTCTGCTTCACCTGTTCTGATTTTTGGACAGGCGATTAGGTATGGAGGCTATTCGTTGCCAAAAATCCATCCTTGTTGATCTGAGTTGAACAGTTTGTTAATGGAAAAAATACAATTGTATTTCTTTGTATGTAAACTCCAATGTTGCATATTGTCCAACAACATTGACCTGGCACTCTTGCATTTGACCCCATATTCGGTAATTTCCGTAAACGTTACTATCTATTTGTAGATCGATATGAATGTATATAACCAGTTGTTAAATGTTCTTAATTACAAATCCCTCTTAGCACAGTCGTTAAGGGCTTTCACTTCAAGAATATAAACGTACACTCGTAGGTTTGAATCCTGGTTCAGCCACTTTTACATATTTTCTTTTCTTAATTTCAAAATTTCCATTTCTCTCTTAACTCGTGCAAAACGTTTTGATTTTTGGTTGTGTATTCCATATGTGTAATATTTTAATTTGTATTATGAACATGCTGTCCTTTTTATTAATCAAAGATAATGTAATGAATGTAAAATAAAATTGTATAAAAACCACTATTTAAAAGGTATCCTAAAAACCAGATGTAGTAAAACGATTTTAAATTAATTCTTGCAAGTAAATTACAAAATGAAATAAAAATTGCATGTCCTCACAACGTGGTGTTGGTAAGGTATCGAACCACGGAACTTCAGATCAGTAGTCTAGCATCTATACCAATACACCACAACTCATTGACGTGTGAAATTAACAAAGATATCGATATATTCGTTAGATACCATTGTTTATCACCTGACTGACCTTTACGGAAATTAATGAAGTGCCAGGTCAATATTGTTGGACAATACTTGGATTGAGTTTGCCGATTTAACATTGTAAACATGCATTTCAACAAAATACATTTTGTTAAACGACAAAACATTAACTGATAGTAGCAATACCAAGTGTTCGAATACTCAAAACAGAAGTTACATTCTTAGCTTTACATTGTCGAACCATCATGATTCAGATCAGCATAATCCAGCTTTACACGTTTTCAATAGGAGATAAAATAAGCTCCGCCCATTTCCCTGCCCACTAAATCATCGTAAATAAACGTATTTTCCGCTCATTTTCGGTATTTACCGTCGGCGACAAGAAGCGGCGTAATTTCCGTTTATCATACCTTTTAGGTGTTTAGTTACTAAACATAATTCACTTGCATGATTGCCTACAATCAACATCAGCGGACTTTAAAGGAATATAGGCATATAAGTTTTAAAACGTTGTAGACACCACATTTCCTGGAAAAAGAAACTTAAAAAAAACCCCAAAAACATCAGGTTACATACTGTCTGAGGTTAAATATTTTTCAAGGAAGTGAAAACTATTGAAAAGACTATATTCAACGACAAATAAATTTTACTGATGATATTTCAATTTGCATAGGAATGAGTAACATTTACAGTTAAGCTGCTACCTTACCACTTTCAAATTTTCAAGTCAACATCTGATAGAGATTTTGATACGACTAATTACTAATACAGACCAAATTCTGGCTGTTGTCTTTCCTAGTAGTACTATTATATTAGTAACTTTAATTCTAGCGTATGACTTGACAAGAAAAAACTTTTAACAGTTATTATAGTAAAATTATAAACCAAAGTTGTATGTACCCTTTCGTACATAACTTTTTATTTTACCATATATTT